TATTTAAATGATAGATTAAAAGAAAAAAAATCATATTTTTTTTATTTTATCATTTTTTTTGTGAAGTCAGCGGCCAGCGGCAAAAATTTTAATGTTGCACAAATGTTATTTAAACAGTAAAACGGCATTTAATGAAGTTCTTATGACATTTCTTAGTATTAAAAGGATATATTTTTGTTTGTTTGTTTTGTTTTGGGTTTTACGTCACATCGACACAGTATAGGTCATATGGCGACGTTCCAGCTTTACTGGTGGAGGAAGACCTCAGGTGCCCTTCCGTGCAATGTTTCAGGCACGAACGGGTACCTGAGTAGAACCACCGACGTTCCGTAAGCTAGCTGGATAGCTTCCTCACATGAAAGAATCCAAAGTTCCTGTCGGGATTCGAACCCACAGAGGTGAGGGAAAAGGATATATAAAAAGAAAAAAATCTGCAAAATGATTAAAAAAGTACAAAAAACCCAACAAAAACAACAAGCAAATAGTTAATTGCAATTAAAGAATGGCAAAACAGACTGGTTATTATTTCATCATCTAAGTTAATTAGCAGAAAATAAAATTACAAACAAAACTAAAACAGTTCATAAATGCTATAATTTAGGGAAAAATACAATTCATTGTGTTAAAATTATGTTTACTTTCTTTTAGGAAATGAAAATTTGAATGTCTTTGATATGAATAGAATATTTCATGACACAAAGTTTGAAGCAGACAATAATTAAACTAAAATTTTGAAATGAAAAAGAATTCATAAGTGCTATTTTTTTCTAGGTTTCCTGAGACTGACCTGCTGACTTCCTTAGGAATTCTGGCCCTTCGGCCAATCAGCTTCTTAAGTAAGCAAGAACTAGAGGAGTATGGATCAGAGGAAATAAACATGTCATGTGATTTTTATGCGAAGAAGAAAACAGTAACATGGAAAACTGATGGTGTGACAGAAACAGCAACATCTCAACCCATTGTTAATATTAGTGAAAACAAAAACTGAATGGTCTTTCATAAAAAAAGTTAATTGGCAGAAAAATATCCAAGGGACAAAATGTGTACTTTGTGCAGTTAATATATAGATATCACAGGGACAACTTCCCAAAATATGCTTAAACTAGCAGCTCTTGCAATGACATCTGCAGTCCATACTGCTGGCTGTGAAAGAGGCTTTTCAGTCCAAAATAAAATTTTAAACAAAGCCAGAAATAGGTAAACAATTAGTAAGCAGAACCAATTAATATCTATTAAGTTGTGCCCTGTGCCTATTGATAATGAAGTAGTTTTGAAAATTTGGAAACGCAAAAAAGAAAGGCGTGTTTATGAAATGAAATGAAGAAAATTTTGTTTGTTTTGGGTTTTATGTCACATCGACACAGTATAGGTCATATCGCGACGTTCCACCTTTACTGGTAAAGGAAGACCTCAGGTGCCCTTCCGTGCATTATTTCAGGCACGAACGGGCACCTGAGTAGAACCACCGACGTTCCGTAAGCTAGCTGGATAGCTTCCTCACATGAAAGAATCCAAAGTCCCTGTCGGGATTCGAACCCACAGCGGGGAGGGGCAAGTGATTTAAAATCAACGTCCTTAACCACTCGGCCACGGACGCCCCATGAAGTAGTTTTGAAAATTTGGAAACGCAAAAAAGAAAGGTGTGTTTATGAAATGAAATGAAGAAAATAAATTTGAGGAGAGCTTATTCTTGTTTTTTTACTTTTCATACATGTTATATTATACATGTACATGGTCTAGGTTTAAAAATTATTTGTAACAGAACATTTCAAACACACCTCATTTTTGTTTATTTATGACTCGTTGTTTTCCTGGTATGACTCATTAGTTTGGCTATATGACTCATTGTTTTAAAATATGTGAGTAAAAAAACCCATTGTCATTGATTTCTAGATTAATCACTCAAGACCACTGGCAAGCCTAACTTGAGATTGAAAGATTAAGCAAAAGTCCGACGGGATGTTCGAGGCCTACGCTACGTGTCCTTCCGCCACTCAATTGAATCACAAGTGTTGTTTACTTCACCTCGATCCGTTATTATTGTTCATTTGGGAGGTAATGATTATGCAGATCTACCTATATTTAATTTGAAGGATGTTATCCAGCATGAGATTTATTTACTTGCGTTAAGCTTTCCATACAACAGTACTAATTTGGGTAGATAAACTACAGTGGCAGACCTGACATAATGCCACGGGAAGTAGGGTTGCTATGGAAAATAAACGCAATTTAGTTAATAGGACGGAATAGATCAAATAAGAATCCCTTAGGAGAGCCCAACACGGCAACATTGAAAATTGCAAATTTGCAAATTGGTTTGATTGAGCCTGTTAATGGACGGTACTGTCAAGTGCAAACTACTGTCCACACCCCTAGCACCAGCTAAAGCAGCATGAACTGATGTGTTCATATGGCGGTCATCAAGGAACCTTCAATTTGACACGTTAGTCCCATTCCATGGAAAGCGGCATAAGGGACTCAAGTAAAAAATGCGTGTGCCCTAAACGAGAAAACAATGGGCGGAACTAAATAAAATGGAATTTAGAAAAGGGATCAGAGGTTATGAAGCCTGCTTACAAAGATAAGACGTCAAAAGACAAGTTTAAAAGACAGGCCACATATCCTAAGATTGATTCAACAGTAGTCAAGTAAGGAAAACTGGAACCACCCAAAAAGAAAATAGCCAAAAACTAAGAACTAAATTACCAAAAGCACAATAATAACGTGCTGAACGATCGTTATGGATCGGAAATATAACATCTCTGATTTAATGTACGGGGCGACTTTTTTACAGCCTCCACAAGGCACAAACAACCCTGATGTGGCGATAAAATAGATAAAATAAGAATCCCTAAAGAGAGCCCAACACGGCAAAATTGCTGCAGGCTCGGTGTGATTGAGCCTGTTCATGGAAGGTACTGTCAAGTGAAAACTACCTGCCACCAAGTAGGTAGTTCGTCGGGTAAAAGTAATACAATTAAGCCGGATTAAGCATCGATGCAAAAAATCTGGAAACAAAGTGATCCCTCGGAAGCATTAATCACAACAAAATTACATGAATATCGCAGACTCGTTTTTATTGAGTATATACATGAGGGATAACTGCATTTATTCCGGACAGACGGAGTTAATCTCATTAAGATTGTTTTGGAAAACTTCCTAGATTACTTTAAAGATTTTTTTCATGAAAAAATGTACAAGTGTATCGATAAGAATTTGGGGGGGGGGGGGGGAGAATAAATTTTCATAAATTAATTATGACCGTTAAATTCTTTCGATCGGGAGGGGATCTGACATTGTATTCTGTTTTGTTTGGCATATTAACATAAAACCCTGTTTATGGTCCTACTGCTCTTGACGGAATATCCGTCCTTGTAGGCCGACTTATGATCAGGAAATTAATTTTGTTTGTCCATGTGTTTGGACTGGACTTTTGCGTTATTTGGTTTTGCCCATAGTACTTGGCAATGCCTGTTTTTACGTTTGTATAATGCTGTTTGCGGGTTATTGTATTGGGATTTAACAGGGACTTGGTCATAACTGGTAGATGACCCCAATTGATTTGGGGTCACTAGGTTAAAGGTCAAGGTCACATTGGCCTTAAATGTCCGAATGGTTTCCACTTATTATATTGAAAACTATTTATCACGAAGTTTTTATATTTCACAAACTGATTGAGCATAACTAGTAGATAAATTCTATAGATTTTTGGGTAACTAGGTCAAAAGTTAAGGTCACAGGAGCCTTAAATGTTAGAATTGTTTCTGCTCATTATCTTAAAAACCATTTATCACAAAGTCTTCATATTTCACATATTTAATAGTCATATGTAGTAGATGTAGGTCAATGTCACAGGTGCATTAAATGTCAGAATGGTCTCCGCTTAATATCTTGAAAACTATGTATCACAAAGTATTCATATTTCACGTACAGATTGGTCATATCTAGTAGATACCCCTTTTGGTTTTGGGGTACACTAGGTCAAAGGTCAAGTTCAAAGGTTTGAATGTTAGTATGGTTTCCGTCTGTTATCTTGAAAGCTATTTATCACAAAGTCTTCATATTTCACATAGTGATTGGTCATAACAAGTACATGACCCCTATTGATTTTGGGGTAACTATTTTAAAATTCAATGTAACAGGGGTCTTTATGTCAGAATGGTATCCACTTGTTATTTTAAAATATATTAAACACAGAGTCTTCATATTTCACATAGTGATTGGTCATAACTAGTAAATGACCCCTATTGATTTTGGTGTCACTAGGTGAAATGTCAAGGTCAAAGATACCTTATATGTCAGAATGGTTTCCGCTCATTATCTTGTAAACTATCACAAAGTCTTCATATTTCATATATTGATTGTCATTATCGGTAAATGGCTTATTAGATAATGTTTCTTGTAAAATGTAAACCGACTTAAAATTAAGTTTCTTGTATCTTATATCTTGTCATAACTAGTACATGTTCCGTATTGATATTAGGATCATTATGTCTAAGTGCACAAGGGCCTGAAATGTCAGAATGGTTACTGCTCATTATCTTGAAAACTATTAATCACAAAGTCTTCATATTTCACATATTGATTATTGAATAGCCATATGTTGTAGATGTCCCCTATAGATGTCGAGATCACTATAGTTCAAAGGTCAATGTAACACTGGCCGTAATAGTAAGAATGATTCCCGCTTATTACCTTGAATTTTTTTCACAAAGTTTTCATTTTTCTCATATTGATTAGTCATAATGGGGTCACTAGTTCAAAATTAAAAGTATTTATGTTTCACATATTAATTGGTTATAATTAGTAGGCCATTATTTTTCTTTTTTCCATAACTGAGCCATTCCATATACCCATTTATGGCAAGTTTCTCTAACAAAAGTACCAATAATATGAGTCCAGGGCTAGAAAGGGGACATATGTGTCGTTCGACATTTCTTGTTAAATAATTATTACTGAAGTAGTCATGTATGAATCATATACATATAACAAATTAGATATGAACAGTTACTCAAAGTCGTTTTATTTTATTTCAATTATTAAAATAAGTGTAAGTTTAAATGAGTGTCATTATCATGAGCGTTATTACTTGGTTCGAAATCCTTTATAATATAATTGTTAGCGGAATCTTGCATTCACTTAATTTCTTTGCCTCGGGTCGCCTTCACGAATCAGTTGTCGGTGTATCAAGATCTGCCATATAACCTGGAACAATATAAAATATCAACATTAAAGTATCTCGACTAAGGTCAAAAAGCTAAACTGTATACATGTACATTATCTTGAAATTCTTACATGAATAATAGAATACCTCAGGCACATAATATAGGAAATATATGCAAAAGATAATAAAGATAATAACTATACTCAGAAATAAATTGAAAATCGAATTTTGTTATGAAACATGTTTATACGCTTTCCATGTTTTGTCTTCTATCACAAGAAAAATTCTCAAGTAAGTAAGTAAACTGAAATTATGTTCATAAGCTACTGGCCAAATATATCACGTTTGTGTCTAACAATTACAGTTTTCTTTAAAATGGGACAGCCACAAAGCTTTTGCATCCAGCTTAAAACCCTCAAATGTGAGGCTTTGTCGATAATTTTTGTGTGCCCGCGTACGAAACAAATCGCGTTTGCTAGAGACCAATATATGTTTTTTTATTTGAAGAGACCACATGTTATTTGGTCCTGTCGGAGATTGGTACAAAGTCAAATTTTATTGTGAGACACACTTAAGTTATATGCGGAACAGATATATATATCCCATTAGCATACTTACGGTTTTTTTCGTTTATCTATTTATTCATTTATTTTCTTTTTTTCTGCAAAATATACTGCTCTATTCACTATTAACGCGCTTCCGTTAAAAGTTCTTTATATTATATCAAACATGCATGTCCCTATGGACTGATGGAACACAATGAAGTTTAACTTATATGTTTTAAATATAGTCTGAAGTATGCTCTAAGCTCATTTAACATGATTTTAAACTTACTGTTAGGGCCCATGGCACTACAGACATGACACACAGCACAAATCGCCGACACAATCCCTTCGAATAAAGAATTAGCAAATCAATGAAATTAATGAATAAAACATAAAAGCATTTTTTAAATCCCCGATATACCTTTAAATTAAGAAACGCTTTAAACATCATGTAACACGTGCTTATACGATTGTGTACCTGACAAATAAGCATGGCTAAGTCTCTCACGAGACACTCTCAACAGAAAAAAAAAACGTAAAAAAAAGAACAAGAAATCACACTCCATTTTGTAAACGAACAGAACAATTATACATACAGGTAAGAATATTTAAATCCTTCAAAGGCAGTAACAATTTTTAAATCATCAAAATCATATGTTGAATTTATTTCCTACATTGTTTTTAACACGTATCCTTCTGAAACTTAAAGTAATTATTCTTTACCAATCTGTGTAGAACCAGAATCAAAAATAATTACCCGTTACCACATATATAGAACCAAAAGCTAAATCTAATTACCCTTTACCATCCGTATAGAACCAGAATCAAAAATAATTACCCGTTACCACATATATAGAACCAAAAGCTAAATCTAATTACCCTTTACCATCCGTATAGAACCAGAATCAAAAATAATTACCATTTAGCAGCTTTTGTAGGAATAATAACCTTTAACCACCCGTATAGAACCAGAAACTTAAAACAATAACCATTACCACCCGTATAGAACCAGAAACTTAAAATAATAACCTTTAACACCCGTATAGAACCAGAAACTTAAAATTATTACCCCTTACTAGCCGTGTAGAGCCAAGCTTGTGTGTAGTTAGACCTGACTGTACTTAGACCTTCTTAAAATATATATTTCGAAAACCTTATAAAGGCTAGTTAAAAATTAAAAGCTAGGTAGTTTAGTTTTATAAATTCATGAGATTAAATGTAATTGTATTTAATAAATGAATAATGATGATTTGTACCATTTCGTAATTATACGCAAGGTATGTGTTCCTCATCATGTTCAGCAGAACCAACACAGTCCATAGGACCTGAAATAAATCAAAGCACTGTAAGCACTGATGTTGTACCTCAAATCAGGAAACGGTTCAGTCTTTAATTTAAGAGTCTTTGAAAGAGCAACATTTTCATTTATAATAATTACAATTTCTTTCCGTTTCATGCCCAGTAAATCTTAAGCAGACACTTTTTTGCAGCCGGTTTCTTTTGAAAGGAGGTCACGGCCAATTATTCAAAACCAGGATTGCCATTAAACAACTGTTTTCATTGTTCTATTCATTGTTCTTTTTCAGGAAACAGGATGAAAAAATTTCGGTTTTAAAAGGGTTCCTCGATGTGTTTGTTATCATCTTATTTAACTTTAGACATTTTAAGATTATGATTATCAATTGCATCTTCCTGTATGAGTCACCTAATTTATACAAATCCACAGAACATTTATTTCCTAAAAACCTATGATATGGTTACTTTATGAAAAATCGGGTTCATCTAAAACTGTTCATTAAAAAGACAATACAAATAAACACTAATGTAATCAAGAACCGTATGACAAGCTACACCGTGTCTTACGGAAAGGGCCGAATAGATACGATTGTGGAACTGCGAAATTAAAATATAGGAATGGAATCAGTTACCACAATAATGATAATTATTTAGTTAAGAATGATGATTATTTAGATAACAAAGATAAGTATTTGTTTTAAATAGTTCCATTTCACAACTCGAAACTATTGTTAGAGTACTTACAAACGCTGTAAAAGACATAAATCGGTTGAATATGATGTTATCACGAAGCATTGTGTGACATCCTAAAAATGCTTGGACAAAGCCTAAACAACAGATAAACTTTCCTTGGAACAACAAGTTTGCGAGTAAATTTTCAACATGGTCCGCAGAATTTGTATACAAATGCACACTGACTGCACCATAAAGAAGTACACATATTCCTGAAATCTTTAAGGAACGTCATGTTTTACAAGGAAGCGAAACAAGAAAGCCTCTTAATTAATGCACTTTTATAATAGAATTAAAAAATTAAAAAGATTTATAATTTCATAATAACATTATAGCAGGAACAATATTCATACTTTGAAAGAAAAAAACAACATTTACACAGAATCATTATAATACTTTTTGATAGAATCTAGTATTCAAAAAGAAAAATAATCTGCAGTTTTAATAAAGTATAAAAAGTAAAATATTATACCTTTAAAACTGCGTTAAATAGGAAAATGTTAATGCACTTCTTTAAAAGCATTGAAAAAGGGAAATATACATATATGTATAGTAGCAATCAAATTTCACAATAACAGACATTTGAATTTGAAACTATTCAATTAATAATATATCCTTAATTGTTCACAATAAGATAACCATTGGATGTACTCTAGAATTATAAATTAATGCATAATTATAGTGTATTGCCTGTTATACTATAAAAATATATTTTTATAATATTCAAGCCTACTTATACGTGTATATTTATCGTTTATTGTTCAAATATTTGCATGGTCGTTCAGTTATTATCGATAATAACTCACGCAATATTTAAGATAACATTTTTTTCCAATTTAAGATTTAAATTTGTAACTTTTGCATACTTTGTAATGTAAATCATTTTCTGACAGTACTTACAATAAAAATTAACCCAGGATTATTAGCGTCCATTCTTATCATTGTGATTTTAGGTTTTATGTTGATATGTTTCTTCCTGAAACGAACATGACTTGAAATAATGAAATTAAATCGAATATGACGCATAAAAGTAAATTCCGATGAAATTTGTAACATACAAGTAAGCATCTAACGAACGTTGTCTTTTAAAAAAGATAGAAATAACAGTGATATTTTGACACCAGTACAATATAGTAAGATATCGTATATCTTTCTCTTTTCAAAATATTACATTTATACCAGTAAATTAAAAAAAAACTCCAGATATAAGTATCTTCAAAATAAATTTTTTTAAACAGATTAAAAATTGAAAGATTTGTTGCGTTACAAAATGATACATTAGAAGAATTTGAAAATTGCTGGATATATCTAATTGAATTGTTTGATTTCTAAATAGTACATGCAGAGAAAATCTACATATCAATGAAAATGCTAAAGTTATCATGGTTTGTATTCTTCTATTGTTTTATTTTTCTTAAATTAACGGACCTTAAACGTGGTTCCAAAAAAAAAAAGATATCGTGTCCCGTAAATTGTGATAACAAGCTTATTGAACATGTTTAAATAACTTAAAATATGTATTTTAAAATTGATAGAATTATGTCAGTCTATATTGTCTTATGCAAAGAAAATCCTTATGCAAAAAGATATAATAAATAAATTTTAACATATGTTTTTATTTTAAATATAAAAAGGGGTATTTGTTTAAAAGATATATGTAAGAAAGTATATGAAAGATAAAACCGTAGTGTATCATTTTATGATATACTATTAAAAGTTATTTCTTACCTAAATGGCTGTAATTCCGCATATAATAAGCTCTTTTACAGCCAAAAGCAAATATTAAATACAGGGAACCCGGCAAAAGTTATCACGTAATATTATTATATGGATAACACGTACCGACTGGTAACACCGTTAACCGCGGAAAGATAAACAAATCTTGTACATCTAAACAATCTTGAACGTTTCTTTTTAAAAACTAAAAATCAATTTGAAAAACCAGTGAAATGATATTTTTATATATATTGTTATGCCATACACACGTATTCATGTATATCTTTAATACTTTATTGTTTTCATTGTTATTTTAACGATATGTGTTACGTTTTATGATATTTGCTCACTATCACAAAAATCGTTTATTAAGAACATGACTTTTGACTTAAATGATGTTATGCTCCGTGGACAATATATTTTTGTTTCACCATTAATATAAATACAAAAACAAAATATAACTTTATTTTGAATACACAAAAGTCCTAAAGTTTGGGGATAAAAATAAAATGAAACATAAGTTGTTGTATTTTTGTGTAAAAAGACGAAAACTATCATTCAAACAATGCATTTCACTTGGATTATGTCAACACTGTAGTAGGTTTCACCTTGGCGTTGCCAAATGCAATTCACAACCATGATTTCTTCCTCATCACTTTCAAAGTGACCAAACTAATTTGGCCCATTTGTGGTTTTGGAAAAAGTTAAATAAGAGTATATGGTAGATAGGGTACGAATTTATAAGCAACATTCAACAAAAGACATTCATTGAAAGTCTAAGAACACAAGCATTATGTTGCTAAGTTTCGGTATGGCCTCTTTGATGATGGCTTTCTTTACCAATACCCATTCAATATTATATAAATACTTCAGTTTGCTGCTGAGGTATGCATACATGATTTGTGCTGAAATATCTTTGTAGCGGTGTGGCGGTAGTCTTCTTTATTTTGATAATTCTCCATTTTGCTCTTGACATTTTAACCTTAAATAAATTGATAGTAAAGACATTGAAAATTTATATAAAAAGATTTAGTCTAAATTTAGAGTGAATGGTTTGCAGAAGAATGACATAAGTACTCGTATTGATTTATATAAATTATGTAAAGATATGACTTGTATGATTTGAAGTCTATTTATCAGCTTAAAACATTTCAGATTCAAAAGAGTCAAGGAAAAATTTGCATGAATAAATGAGCCGTGTCATGACAAAACCAACATAATGGGTTTGCGACCAGCATGGATCCAGAACAGCCTGCGCATCAGCGCAGTCTGATCAGGATCCATGCTGTTCGTTACAGACCCTATAACAAGTAAAGAAACTGATAGCGAACAGCATGCAAACCCATTATGTTGGTTTTGTCATGACGCGGCTCAAATAGTTTTCCCATGTATACACGGTCTTATATTTCTTTGACTCTGTAAGATTCTCATTTGGTCTTAAGAATTATTTTTGTCTAGGTTTCAAAGACAAGGTGTGTAAAACTAAGGGTTTCCGATATATCTTATGTACAGTATACATCTAAGATTTTTTAAATCGATTTCATTATTTTACAGATTTTCAGTTCTCTATATGTATAATTTTTTTCTTTATTAAAGAAGCTATGTACTAGAAAAGTGAGAATTCACCTGAAAACGAAAATAAATCATTTATGTCAACGATTCATTGGTATATCAAATACAAAAACAAGAAAAAGTAACAAAATGACGTGTTTTCTTTCATAATAATTATCTGAAATCGAAACTTAAAAAAAGACCATACAAGTCATAAGGCTTCTCTTATTTTGTGTATTGGCTGAATTAAGAAGGTAGTGGTCTGGCAATATACCAGCGAAAATACAGAAAATATTTAGCTAAAATATGTTTCCTTGTAGTGAAAAGTATTTTTTACAATTAAAATGTGGAAAATAAAATTACGCATTTTATTTCATCAATATATCTCAATATTTTATTTATTTATAAGTATTTAATTAAATGAAAAATTTAAAAAACGCCCTAAAAGGGGAAAATTAACTAAAAAGAGGGGCAGGTTTCAATTTGATTATTTTTGAATTGAAAAAAAAATTTGCTAACAGTTTTTACCCCCCCGGGCCCGAAACACCCGGTTTTGGGCATTACTAAACTTTTATAAATTTAAAGGGTTTGTTTTAAACACCCGCCCCCCAGACATGTTAAAAAAGGGGGCGACGTTTTTCCTTTGTTCCCAAAAAGGGGTTGTGGCCCCTAAGGGAAAATTCCCAGGCTTTTGCTTTTTCTAAACCTAAAACTTTTATATCAAACCAAAACATGTATTTTTTTATTTTTTGGGACAAGTTTTTAAATTATTTTTTCAAAAAAACGAAATTTTTTTTTAACTGCGCATATTCATTAAAAAGTTTTTTACGTTCAGTATTGTACATGTCCAAATTAACTTTCAAGGTTTCCCCGGAAATTTTTAATTTTTCCATTTAGGTAAAATCTAAATTTAAGTTTAAATTACCCCACATAAAAAAAAAAAAATTTTAAAAAAAACCGAAACTTTAATTTAATCGAAATATGAAATATGTACAAGAAGAGGAAAAAAAATTTTTCCTTGGGGGTTTTTAAAAATTTTTAAAACCCGGGCTTTATATCACATTTTGTTTTGGTATTTCTTTTAGTTTTTTGCTGTACACTGAAAGTTTGATGTAATTGAGCCTTAGGTACTTACCATTACCTGTTGCATATCATATATACAGACATAGTTAAATAGTTAAATAGTTATAAATCCACCATGTATGGAATAGACATTATTGGAAATGCAGTCGTAAACCGTCATATTTAGCATTAAACATGCAAGTTTTGCTTAGCTTGTCAATCATCAGGCATATTTATTTTTTGATTTCATAGACAAAAAAAAAATGACTTTTTTCTCTTATCTTAATGCATACCGCTTTAAAGGTTAATAATAATAAACATTAAACCTACACCACGCCGCGTGTACTGTTAAATTAATATAAAATTTGCAATCAAAGGTAAGAAATTTATAATGTAGTTGCGTTATTAGAAAGAAAAACATATCGTTCCCTATTCAGTGTAAAACATTTGATAAATAATAAAACCTATAACTAAATTCATATTTTAATCGTTTTCCAGTTAATTTATGAAAACACCCAAGTGATAATGAATATCATAACATTAAAAATTCAATTTTGCCTTCACTTTAGTAATACTTGATTAATGTTTACCTTTTTTTCTGTAAAATTAATTTAATCTATTATAAAATTATTAAATATTATGTATTTTTATTGCCTACCCCTTTAGTCTAAAATTTTCGTTTTACAAAAAAACATTCTGAAAACTAAATTCCTGAAAACGTAACCTGTCATTGTTTGACCTTCTAAGTATCACCCGGGTAAAATTCGGCATAAGACATTCAGCAGGACATTGAAATGTTACCAAATATTCGGTTGACAGGTCATACCAGAAGAACATCAAACTTTTACCAAAATTCCTGCTAGCACGACTTTCGGCAGGGAAAAATGCAGCAGGACATTTTATATTAAGCAGGACATATAAATTTTCCCGAATGTTCTGGTGGCATGACATTCGGCAAGGTATTCAGAACGACATTGAAATTTTACTCAGGACATTCGGCAGGGCATTAGAACATTCAGCGTTGCATTTAGGAGGTCATTGAACTTTTAACGAATGTTCTGCGGTATGTCCTTTCGAATGTTATGTCAGCAGAATATTTGGTAAGATTTCAATGTCCTACTGAATGTTCTGCATCCGGTAAAGTTTCATTCTCCCGTTGTATATCCTGCCGTATGTCATGCCAGCAGAACAGCCAGTAAAACTTAAATTAACCGGGTTGTTTTGCCCTGTCGATTTTCTTTGCAAAAAACATTGGTGAAACTTAATTTCCAGTAAAATGTTCTGCCTATGTAAATGCCGTCCCCAGTAAATTTTTCTGTTTTTCTGCTGCATTTTCTTTTGCAAATCCCCTCCCAATTAATAAATTTGGAAAATTTTCCCAAAAGCCATGATAAATGTTAATGTAGGACGCCGTGCAAAATTTAAAAAAATTTTCATTGGGTTTATATTTTCTGTCCAATTTTTTTTTTTTTTGTGATAGTTTGATACGTTCTTTTAAGGACTTTACTTGTAAAAAAAACTGGAAAAACCCCCGGGTTAAATCAGCATTGTGTTTAAATAAATATAAAACAAATCAACAAAATACAAAATTATGGGAAAACAAAAAGAGGCTTTTAAAAAGGGTTAAAATTTCCCTAAACAAAAAAAATTCCCCCAAAATCTACTTAAAGGGGACTTAAATATATTCTGCGGTCTTTTAGGGTTTTTCAAAAAAGTAGGGGTTGCATAGTGAGTTTTTTGTTCCTCCCCCATGTTATTTATATTTTTTTTTTTTTGAAAAAAAACTTTTTACTAAATAGTTTTGGGGTTTTTAAACCAAAAAACAATTTTTTAATTTTGCCATTTGCAAAAGATTTCCCCCTTCTTTTTTTTGTCAGAAAAATTTAAAGGTTTCCTTTCGCTGGGGTTGTGTAAAAACCCTTTATCAGGGGGAAAGCTGATTTTTCCCCTTGGGGAAAAAAACTTTACCCCTTAGTTTAAAGGGCTGAATGGGTTGGGCGGGAAAAGGGGCCCCGAAAGTTTTTCTTTTTTTTTTTAACAAACCAAAACACGTCAGACTGCAATGAATTTAAAAAGGGTTTAAATTAACACTGTGTTTTAAGCTAATTTTTTTAACTAATAAAAATTACTTTTAAAAACATACATTTTTACCCCATATATTTTTCTGACTTTTAAAACTAAAAAACAAAATGTCCCAAAATTTAAAAGTAATTTTTTTAAATTCAAAAAAAAAATATTGATCTTTTGCTAAAATACAAAATTTTCCTTATAAAGAAATTCTGAATTTAAAAAAATTTTTCCCTTAACGATTTTTTTCTTTTAACTATACGTAACATTTTTAAAAGGTTTTTGTTTTACTGATAAAAAATGATATAAAATTTGGGCGTTTTGGGGGCTTGGTTAGTCGTTTTTTAAGTTTGAAGCTTTGTTTTAAAAGGGACGGGTTTCAAGGGGGAAAATTTGTAGTTTTTTCTAAATAGGGTTGGTTTTAAAAATTTTTTTTCAGTGATCAACTTACAAAAACGATAGATTATACCTACGG